TGTGTGTGTGTGTGTGTGTGTGTGTGTGTGTGTGTGTGTGTGCGAGTGTACTTTCACCTTGGAAATTGGTTGCGGGAGGGGAAGTGTAATTGTGAATTGTTTTATACTTGGGGGGGGGGGGGGGGGGGGGGCTGGGATGGGAATATGGGGCCATTTTAATCTTGAAGCACTTTGAGTTGCATTGTTTTTGTATGAAAAGTGTGATATAATTAAAGTTGATTTGATTCTGGTTCTATGAATCTGTCTTCAACCAAGTCAGGAGATGCTGCTGCCCCATTTACCTCCCCCTCCCACCTATATGTCTCTAGAAGTCAGGTGAAGAGGCAGCTGGAGAGACTGAACAGGAACAAGGCTGCAGGTCCAGATGGTGTCAGCCCCAGGGTACTGAAGGCCTGTGCAGAGCAGCTCTGTGGGATTCTGCAGCACCTCTTCAACCTCAGCCTGGCCCAGGAGAAGGTTCCAGTCCTGTGGAAGACATCCTGCCTTGTTCCAGTTCCAAAGAAAACTCGCCCATCAGTCAATGACGACTACAGACCGGTTGCCCTGACATCCCACATCATGAAGGTCCTGGAGAGACTCCTGTTGGTCCACCTGAATAAGCAAACTAGGACATATCAGGACCTGCTGCCGTTTGCTTATCGCCATGGAGTTGTAGTTGAAGATGCCATCATCCAGCTGCTTCAACCAACCCACTGTCATCTGGACAAAGCAGGCAGCACTGTGAGGGTCATGTTCTTTGATGTCTCCAGTGCATTTAACACAATCCAGCCTGATGTACTTTGCCAGAAACTCCAGAAGACACAGGTGGGGGCCTCAACTATCACCTGGATTAAAGACTACCTGACAAACAGACCACAGTTTGTGAGGCTGAAGAACTGCACATCAAACCAGGCCATCAGTAACATTGGAGCACCACAGGGGACTGTAAACTTCTTGCTTTTAAATCAAGACAAGACGGAAGTTCTCATCTTTGGACCAGAAATCCAGAAAAGGAAATTGCTTAGCCAATCGCCTGACCTGAATGGCATTACATTAATCTCCGAGAACAAAGTAAGGAACCTTGGTGTTATCTTTGACCAGGACATGTCATTCAAATCCCAGGTTAAACAGGTTTGTAGGATTTCCTTTTTCCACCTTCGGAATATTGCTAAGATTAGAAGCATCCTTTCCAGGAGTGATGCTGAAAAACTAGTTCATGCATTTATTACATCAAGACTGGATTACTGTAATCCATTACTCTCAGGAAGTCCACAGAATGTAGTTAAAAGTCTTCAGCTTGTCCAAAATGCTGCAGCTAGAGTTCTGATGAGAATTAAAAAGAGAGATAATATCTCTCCTGTCTTAGCTTCCCTACGTTGGCTACCTGTTAAATTCAGAATAGATTTTAAGATCCTTCTTCTCACATATAAAGCTCTTAATAATCAAGCTCCATCATACATCAGTGATCTGATTGTTCCATACGTTCCTAACCGAGCACTTCGCTCTCAGACTGCAGGTCTACTGGTGGTTCCCAGAATATCTAAAATTAGGATGGGAGGCAGATCTTTTAGTTATCAGGCTCCTCTCCTGTGGAACCAGCTCCCAGCTTTAGTCCGTGAGGCAGACACTTTGTCTACTTTTAAGAAAAGGCTTAAAACATTTTAATTTGATAGGGCCTATGGTTAAAATCTGATGTTAGCCTAGATCTGGACAAGTGGGGGAGTAGAGGGAGGTGGAGTGTACAGTCGGTAAAGACGGCTCTCCCTTGCCCTGCCTCCAACATGCCTCCATCTAAAAAGGCTAGGTTATTCAGAGTTATCTCTGTAGTTATGCTGCTATAGGCTTAGACTGCTGGAGGACACACTGATCACTTTCCACACTCTACTGCTTTCTTCTACAATCTGCTCTTTAACTGTATTATTTCCTGCTATTTCAGCTGTTAACTTTATTTTCTCTCTAAGTGTTTTTCTCCCCAGAAGAAGCTACAACGATGTTCTGCTGAGCTGTGGTGGCCTCATACACCTCAGACTTCCAGTACAAGTCAGAGACCTGTCATCTACAGAAATACTCAGATGACTCTGCAGTTGTCGGGTGTATCAGAGATGGACAGGAAGCTGAGTACAGAGAGCTGGTGGAGCGCTTTGTGGCATGGTGTGGAAACAATCATCTGACCTTGAACGTGAACAAAACAAAGGAGATGATTTTAGACTTCAGAAGAAACAGGGTGGAGTCAAACACTGTTTCCATCATGGGAGAAGAAGTGGAGGTGGTTGAGGAATACAAACACCTTGGAGTTCACCTGGACAACAGACTGGACTGGAGAAAGAACAGCGAAGCCGTTTACAAGAAGGGACACAGCAGACTGCACTTCTTGAGGACGCTTAGGTCCTTCAATGTCTGTAGCAAGATGCTGCAGATCTTCTACAAGTCTGTTGTTGAGAGTGTAATCTCTTCAGCCATCGTCTGTTGGGGTAGCAGCATCAGAAGCAGGGACCTGAAAAGGCTCAACAGCCTAATAACAAAGGCTGGTTCTGTTCTGGGGACGACTGTGGAACCACTGGAGGAGATGATGCAAAGAAGGATTCTCCAGAGAATCAAGAACATGATGGACAACCCTGAGCATTCTCTTCACAAGACTGTCCGACAACGGAAGAGTGTCTTCAGTCAGAGGCTTCTTCAGTTTGGCTGCAACACTGACCGCTACTGGAGATCCTTCCTGCCAACAGCCATTGTAATATACAACACCTCTTTGATGACTTGATTATTATTATTATTATTCTGAGCTACTACAGCAATCAGTTTCCCTCTGGGGTTAATAAAGTATTTTTGAATTAGAATTTGGTTTTTCTTAACATTAGACTTAAAACGGACCCCCAACACAAATGACACATCTGTTGTTTGAAGACTTGCCTGCTCAGTTGCACATTTCTTCAACTAGAGAATGCTGTTTTTATTTGTGTCTCTCCTACTTCCTGTCATGTTCTGTGTCCCTTTGGTCCTCAGCTCTCTCCGGTTCTCCCTCCAGGTTTCCCCCAGGTCTCTCCTGGTCACCCCTCAGTACTGTTTCTATAGGTTCAGCTTTTCCTGCTAGTGGTCTACTTCAGTGTGTGTGTTTTCCTTCTCCACTTGTTAATTATTTCTCACGCATCGTTCCACAAATGTGGAATGACCTTCCAAGCTCTACCAGAACAGCGGCTTCCTTGTCAATTTTCTAGAAACTCCTGAAGACCCTGCTCCCTGCACCCGTTCTCCTCTCTACCGTCCACTCCTTGTTCCCTCCTCTCCATGATTGATGTCATGTTGTTGTTGTTGTTGTTGTTGTTGTTAGCCTCAAGGGCAACATGCTGATTATCACTTGTAAGTCACTTTGGACAAAAGCGTCTGCTACATACATAAACATGATTAGTCCCCTCACTTCTCTGGTCATTAGTGATTTATCTTTGGTTGTCTTGTGCCTTTAGTCTGTTAGGTTTATTTATTCAGAGATTCACAGGTTATGGTTTAGCCCCTCCTCTGCTTGGTTTTCTCTTCCCATTTAGTTCATTGATCTCACCGCTCCTTCCTCAGTTCTCTCCCCCACACACCTGCTCCTCGTTCTCCAATCATCCAGCCCCTGTAGATAACCCTGTCTCGCCCCTGTGTTTGTCGGTCCATGGTCTTATGTCAGCGTTGTCGTGTCCCTCCCTAAGTCTCTAGGTCTGCTCAGAAAGTGAGCTTTTGGTGGTTTGTCTGAGTTTAGTTATTAGGTTTTGGCCCCCTGCCCTTTTGGATTTTTGGTAATCATCCTAAATAAAGGACTTTATTTTTTTACATCCGCTCCTGCCTCGTGTCATCTGGTGTCTGCACCTTGGGTCCTAACCTCCTCCCTCTCTCAACGGGACACTTCCAAAATGCAGGTAAAAGAACTTTGAGGTGCCTATTTTAAAAACGAAAATTCCCTGGGAGCGCCGGAACTCCCAGTGGCAGGCGGTGGCCTCTCTGGGGGTAGCCCAGACAAGGATAGAACGCCTTCTCCGGGTCAGGGATGAGGTCCTGCCCCAAGTGGAGGAGTTTAGGTATTTTGTTCACGAGTGAGGGAAAACTGGAGCGTGAGATCGATAGGTGGATTGGTGCTGCATCTGCAGTGATGCGGGCGTTGTACCGGTCTGTCGTGGTGAAGAGAGAGCTGAGTCAGAAGGCGAAGCTCTCGATTTACCGGTGGATCTACGTTCCTACCCTCACCTATGGTCATGAGCTTTGGGTAATGACCGAAAGAACGAGATCACGGATACAAGCGGCCGAAATGAGTTTTCTCCGTAGGGTGGCTGGGCTCTCCCTTAGAGATAGGGTGAGAAGCTCGGTCATCCGGGAGGGGCTCGGAGTAGACCCGCTGCTCCTCCACATCGAGAGGAGCCAGTTGAGGTGGCTCGGGCATCTGGTCAGGATGCCTCCTGGTGAGGTTTTCTGGGCACGTCCAACCGGGAGGAGACCTAAAGGTAGACCCAGGATTCGGGGGAGGGACGATGTCTCTCACCTGGCCAGGGAACGCCTTGGGATTCCCCCGGAGGAGCTGGCCCAAGTGGCTGGGGAGAGGGAAGTCTGGGCGTCTCTACTTAGGCTACTGCCCCCGCGACCCGACTCCGGATAAGAGGAAGAAAATGGATGGATGGACACATACCAACTGACTACTTCTGAACCAAAAGCATGATACAAGGTGAGCGATGAACAAGCTTTTGTTATAATGATTTGGAATGACCCCCCCCCCCCCCCCCCCCCCCAGTGGCGAGACAGGCCACCTTACTTCAGCGTTTAAAGAATCATTAAAGACACATCACACATATGTTAGCAAACATGTCTTCATCTTTAACTAGAATCTTTATCTACACGTTTACCGGTCTGACTCCAGGTGTACCGGTTATTTAACAGCATACCTGTATGCTTATTAACAAGTCCGGACAGGTAAGTGGCTGCCACCTGTTCAGTGAATCCAGGTGTAAGTGTAACATGTGAGCTTTTTCCTTGAACACAAGTGATTGTTTTACCTGTAGAATGACTCCTTTGTCCAACAGGCTCCGTTTCTTCACTGTCATAACAAAGTAGTGTGTGTCATCCTTATAGTAGACGATGTTCTCCAGGTCAATACCTGGAACAGGTGTTAATGTGCAGGTGAAATTAAGGCCAGGTGTGTCTGGATGAGTTGAGACAGCATCATTACAAACCTGTTTCTTGTCGCAGTTCCCGGAAGAAGGCCTGGTTGAAGATGAAAGCAACTCCACTGATCTCCTCTACTTTGGCCTCAGCTGAGGTGTTTCTGTTCTTAAAGTTGGCCGTGATTGCGATGGCCAGCTTCCCTCTGAACTCCTTACGCCTAAAACCTGATCATGCAGGTAAAAGATCACACTTACTGACAGGCTCAGAACTGAACACATCACAATGGCCGTTGGGTTCCTTTTGGGGTAGGGTTAGGACTTTATTCAGTCGGACCCTCTAACTGATCCATCATGAACCTCTGAAGGACTGATAGTATCATCCTACCTGGCAGTGTGTTCCTACGCCCATCTGCTCCGATGATCACATCAAACTCCAGCTGACTGACGGGATGGGTCTTTGGACTCACCTCCACCCTCCAGCCCACCTCTATGCAGGTAAACATTTAAGATCAGCAAAGGTCTGATTTAATGAATCTAGTCAGGATTCACACCAGGGGCAGATTTAGGACTGAAGAAGACCCGGGGCTTAACACACACACACACACACACACACGCGCACACACACGTGACACGCACTAGTCAACATCATATATATGTGTCTTGTACCACATAGATTTTAATCTGAAGCTACATATGAAGCATATTCAGGGCAGAGTATTGTTCCTGTTAGTGTTTAGTGTGAGATGATAGTAAATATTCCCTTTCTTTCTCCAACAACTTTACCTGATAGTAAGCTAACTTTAGGCAAACCAGCAGCTCAACAAATATTTTCTAATAAGACTCACAAACCTGAGTCAGCACCAGTCTCATCAAAGCTGGGGTTCTGTCGCCGTACTTTTGGTCTAAAAAACGTCCTTATGTCCATCTTCACTCATGCGTTTCAGGCAGAGAGTGTAGAAGAAGCCGGCTGCTGAAGGGCTTCTTCTTCAGTGGTGGAGGCTCAGGCAGGCTGTATACAAACTACTGCCAGCTGCTCCCTCTCTGTTGGACTTTGGTACTGCATGTTACTTCCATGTTTTAGATCCGGGGCTTTTCATAAAACATCCGGGGCTTCAGCCCAAGTAGCCGGGCCTAACGCCGCCCCTGATTCACACCAACCACCCACCCACTGACCCATGCATGGATCAACGAGGCACAGCAGATGACCACTGATGTACAGTTGTGTCCCCGGCTATTCAATTGTCAAAGAGCCCCCCCCCCCCCCCCCCCCCCCCCCCCCCCCCCATTATGTAACACACACTTTGTATGCTTCTGTTGCGTGACTCTATGGTTGACCCAGTAGTGATGTGTATAACTAATCTGGTACCTGAAGTTCATGTGGATGGTGGTGTCTATTTTAATTCATGTACTACACTGGTAAATGTGTAGTACTGATGCAGTATAAGTAATCACAGGTATTAGTGGTGAGTAGGTACAGGTGTCTCCAACCTTTCACCTGTTGGCTAGCTGAGCCTAACAAAGTTAGCTGATATGTATCAGTTTCTGTTTGGAGCTCGCTGGTGCCATCTGGTGGCTGCAAAACGGTGGTGCGGATTATGGTACTAGAGTTGTACATTTGAACATGTATTGCTGTCAGTTGATAGATACAGTAATGGAGATCTCTTTCTGTCCCCTTTATTTATGTTTTCTAGACAACCACATCACGTGGAAATACCTGCAGACACACACACCTCTACACACATTCACATCCCTGAAGACACCTCTACATACGTACCAGCTCAGTGGCCTAGTGGTAGAGTGACCACCCTGAGACTGCAAGATCAGGGTTCAATTCCTGGTCGGGTCATACCAAAGACTTTGAAAAAATGGGACCCAACGCCTCCCTGCTTGACACTCAGCATTAAGGGTTGGATTGGAGGGTTTAACCACCAAATGGTTCCCGAGCGCGGCCGTGTCTGCAGCTCACCGCTCCCCCAGGGGACGGGTCAAATGGGGAGAACAACTGGGCCTTTAACTTTAACTTCACATACATTCACATCCCTGAAGACACATGCACAGACTGCAACAGAATGTGCAATCTCAATTAAACTGCTTGAACTGTACCAATGGAGCTGCCTGACCGAGGAAGACTCAGTGTAAGTAAAATCAGAAATCAGTGCAGTAATACTACAGTTTTACACTCTTACATCCGTAGACGTTATTTCCAAAGCACTTTCCATCAACCAGAAGACAAAACAAGGTGCTGCACACATAAAAAAGAATTTTATACATCAATAATCCATGCAAGGGCTGAGAAAGATTAAAAAACATATAAAAACTAAAGATTTAAATAAAACAGGATAAAAGACGGATGAAACATCACAGCTCATCTGACCTCCAGTGGAAGATCATCCCACAGCTTAAGGGCCAAGAAAGGCCTGCCCCCTCTAGTCGAGTAGTGCACCTGTGGAGCGACTAGTCAGTCGCTGTGATGGCGAGTGTAGTGAAGGGTTGTAACGAGTGAGGAAGTCAGACCGATAGCTTGGAGCACAGCCCTGCAGAGTCTCCAAATCAAACTCTGAAAGGAACTGGAAGCCAGTGAAGATGTGATGAGTTCCTGCGTTCTGGTGCTGGTCCGGTATCTAGCTGCAGCCCGGCTAGTGCAGAAAGCTAACTCCTGAGTAAAGGGAGTTGTAGCGATAGTGAAGTAATGTAGACTACTGTCCCACTAGCAGCGGTGCTGGATAGGCAGCGCAGATGGGAAGATCAAGCGGGCACTACCCCATTAATGAGACTCTTAAGTGATACATCCAACAGTTTTTCTCCAAGGATCTTGGAGCAAGTAAGACGCTTTTCTCTTCTCTCCGGCCCCTTATCATCCCAAGGCTCTTTTTCCTGTCTTTCTCTGCCATGGAGGCTGCAGAAGATGTATAGATCTTTGGATTTGTGGTTGCTGGATTTCTGCTAATTGGAGCAGGCAGTTATCTGGTACATTGGAAAATTATGGAGCTGTCTGGGGCAACTGGAAAAGTCCCTGAACTCCGAGAAGTTCTGTGTTGTTTCCTTTAGTTCTTCGTTGTACACAGTGTGATGAGGGTTTGTTTGTACCTTTGCCGACATGTTTCCATGTCACTGCCATCTTCATCAGGGTAACCACTGGATGTTGTTGGACGACATCGCCCTCTGCTGCCTGCTCCCTCTCCGCTGATCACCGTGTCCCATGAGTGGTCCAGGGTGTAGACTCCTTCGTCCCTGTTCATGGTCCACGTCCCCTCATCCCAGCTGCTTCTTTGATCATCTTTTGAATTTCGGTTGTTCTGAGTTTATGATCCGTGATGTCCCGGTCCATTATGTGGTTTTCTCTTGTACAGCGGTTTGTTACGGCTGATTTTTATTCTGCTGCTCTCGTGTGTCGGACTTGTTTCCTTCTCACACTCCTCTGTTTGTGTGTTGGTTGGCGTCCGGCTTCTCCTACGTATGTTTATTACAGTTTACATGGGATTTCTGTCTGACTCCACAATTTAGTGCTGATGATGTTTTGTCTGTTGGGTGTACTGTCTTTTCCTAACTGTCACACACGGTTTTGTTGGACTGTTTTTTTTTTTACTTTTGTAGTTCTTGCTGTGTTAGTCTTTATATTCCATGTTTGGTTCTTTTTTAAACACAGATAAGGTTTTTCTTTACCTTGCTGACATCAGCAATGTAAAGAAAAACCTTATCTGTGTTTAAAAAAGAACCAAACATGGAATTTGTGTTTATGTTGTGTTTGTTCATTGCTGTTATAATCTTTAATTTTCTTATTTTTAACTCAAATTTTTCTTTCACCTGTTTATATAGTTTAATAATTTAGACTCGACTTTTTCTGATGTTAATCTGTTTCTGTTTAGAGATCATTAGGCTTTGTGACTTTATTTTGTTTTGATCCATGTGAAGCACTTTGTGATTCTATGTCTGTGATAAGTGCTATAGACATAACACGTACTTACTTTTCTGTTATGCCTTTGATGTATGAAAGGGTTATTACTGGTCTTGGCTCTGTGCTTTTTGGTTTGTTGTTTTGGTTCGTCTTTTTGTCTTGTTACTTATAGCTCTCCCTTGCCCTGCCTCCAACATGCCTCCATCTAAATAGGATAGATTATCCAGAGTTATCTCTGTAGTTATGCTGCTATAGGCTTAGACTGCTGGAGGACACACTGACCACTTTCCACACTCTACTGCTTTCTTCTACAATCTGCTCTTTAACTGTATTATTTCCTGCTATTTCAGCTGTTAACTTTATTTTCTCTCTAAGTGTTTTTCTCCCCAGAAGAAGCTACAACGATGTTCTGCTGAGCTGTGGTGGCCTCATGGAGGGGGCCATCGTCTAGCACACTGCTGCTAACCACTTAAACATTCTCCCTCTGCTGATAATAACTTTTTACTCTCTTTGACGTTGGATGTGCTACTACTAGTTTACCCGTTTAATTATAGATCCACTAGGATAAATACAATAAAGTTTATCTCACCAAATAGAATATTTACTAAGACATCACAATATAACTGTAGACACATTACGTGTGTTGTGTGTGTGCGCGTGCGTGCGTGCGTGTGTGTGCTCTGTCTTCTCCATCCCCAGTGAGTCGTGGAGGATGGCTGCTTATACTGAGCCAGGATCCTCTGGAGGTTTCTTCCTGTTAAAAGGGAGTTTTCCTCTCCACTGTCGCTGCATGCTTGCTTAGTATGAGGATGGCTGTAAAGACTCTGACACTAGTCAGTGACTCGATGCGACCTGCTGGGTTCCTTATATAGGAAACTTGTTACTGATTGCCTTATTGACCTGACCTGTGTTGTTTACTGTGTGCAGGTCCTTGAGACGACTCTGGTCCTGATTTGGTGCTATATAAATAAACTTGAGCTGAGCTGAGCTGAGCTGAGCTGAGTTGAATTAAGATCTGGGGAGTTTCCAGGCCATAGACCCAAAATTTCAAAGTTTTGGTCCCCGAGCCACTGAGGTATGACTTTTGCCTTGTGGCACGGTGCTCCATCGTGCTGGAAAATGCATGTTCTTCACCAAACTGTTGTGGGATTGTTGGAAGATGTTGCTGTCGGAGGGTGTGTTGGTACCATTCTTTATTCATGGCTGTGTTTTGGGCTAAATTGTGAGTGAACTCACTCCCTTGGATGAGAACCCTAACCCCACACATGAATGGTCTTAGGATGCTTTACTGTTGGCATGGCACAGGACTGGTGGTAGCGCTCACCTTTTCTCCTCCGGACAAGCATTTTCCCAGATGCCCCAAACAACCGGAAAGGGGCTTCATCGGAGAATAAGACTTTGCCCCAGTCCTCAGCAATCCATTCACCATGCTTTTAGCAGAAGATCAATCTGTCCGTGATGGATTATTTTGGAGAGAAGTGGCTTCTTTGCTGCCCTTCTTGACACCAGGCCATCTTCCAAAAGTATTCGCCTCATTGTGCTGCAGATGTGCTCACTCCTTCCTGCTGCCATTCCTGAGCAAGCTCTGCACTGGTGGCACTCTGATCCCGCAGCTGAATCCTCGTTAGGAGATGATCCTGGCGCTTACTGGACTTTCTTGGACCCCCTGAAGCCTTCTGAACAAGATTTGAACCCCTTTTTCTGAAGTTCTTGGTGATCCTATACATTGTTGATTTAGGTGCAGTCTTAGTATCCACACTTGCCTGTGAAGCCATTTTTATGCAACGCAATGATGGCTGCACGTGTTTCTTTGCAGGTCACCATGGTTACCAATGGAAGAACAATGGTTTCAAGCATCACCCTCCTTTAACGTGTCAAGTCTGCCGTTCTAACCCAGTCAGCCTGACATAAACATCTCCAGCCTTGTGCTCGTCAACATTCTCGTCTGAGTTAACAAGACCATTACTGAGCTGATCTCAGCAGGTCCTAATGACAGCAACAAAATGCAGTGGGAAGGTTTTGTGGGATTACGTTCATTTCCATATCAAAACAGGACTATGCTGTTCATCTGATCACTCTTTCATAACAATCTGGAGTTGATGCAAACTGCTGTTATAAAAGTTGAAGCCGCAACTTTTCCAATGACCCATATTTCTGTCATTCTAAAAACTTTTGGCCAAGACTGTAGTAGTGGACTAGTGATTGAGCCAGGTTGTATGTGGGCACCTATGCGTTCTACTACTGGCCTCAGTGTTCTCTTTGAGGTTCCATAGATTCTTGGAATCATGT